CAGCCACTGAATGAAGTTTCTGTTTCCCAGACTCTCTGGACATGGGATTGTAGGCTGGCACTCCCCAGATCTATGTCTAAAATCCATATATGGGAGAGTACATGCAATGTTTCTCTTTTTGTAACTGGGTTACCTCACTCAGTATGGTTTCTTCTAGTGCCATCCATTGCCTGCAAATTTCAAGATTCCATTGTTTTATTTCTCCTGAATAATACTTCTTTGTGTAAAGGTACCATATTTTCTCCATTCACTATTCAGTTGAGAGGAATCTAGGTTGTTATGAATGTAGTGGATCAGACGTCCTTGTTGTATGAATGTACATCTTTTGGGTATATGCCCAAGAGTGGAATTTTTGTATCTTGTTCCCATTGGACTGTTCCCATTGGACTGATTCCCATTATGCTGAGGAATTTCCATACTGATTTCCAAAGTGATTGTACAGTTTGGCACTCCCACCAGCAGTGGAGTAGTGTTCCCCTTTCTCTACATCATCTCTAGCATAAACTGTCATTAGTGTTTTTGATTTTAGCCATTCTGACAGGAGTAAGAGAGTATCTCAAAGTGGTTTCGATTTGCATTTCCCTGAAGGCTAAGGATGTTGACCACTTTCTTAACTGTCTCTCAGCCATTTTAGACTCCTCTATTGAGAATTCTCTACTTAGTTCTGTAGCCCCTTTTTTTCTTCAATATATGTTTTAATTTAAATTAGAAACATGAATGCTTCACAGGTCAATCCCAGCTCCCTCTCAGACCCCTCCTCCCTTGTCTCTCCACCACCCCTTCAGCACCCCCCACCCAATCCCCACATCATTCCCCAGGGAGGGTGAGGTCCTCCTTGGGGGGGGGGAATCTCCAAAGACTGCCATTTCATCCAGGGCAGGACTTAGGCCCCTCCCCATGTGTCCAGGCTGAGAGAGCATCCCTCTATTTGGAATGGGCTCCCAAAGATCATTTATACACCGTGGTAAACACTGATCTACTACACAGGGCCCCAGTAATTTCTGTGGCCTGCTCACTGATACTACATTCATGAAGTCTGGGTCAGTTCGCTGTTGGCCTCTCAGCCATCAGTCTGGGATTCAAGAGCTCCTCCTTATCTGGTCAGCTGCCTATGTGGGTTTCATCATCATGGTCTTGACCCCTTTGCTCATTACTCCTCCATCTCTGTCACTAGGTTCCAGGAGTTCAGTTAATTGTTTAGCTGTGAATATCTATCTCTGCTTCCGTCAGTCGCTGGATGAAGATTCTAGAATGGCATATAAGGTAGTCATCAATGTAATCTTTCCACTATTGCTTAGTTTGCCATTTGGTGTTATCTTGTAGGTCTCTGGAGATCTCACTAGTGTCAGCTCTCTCCTCAAGCCTATAATGACTTGATCTATTATGGTATCTCTCATCCTGCTCTCCTTTATTCTTACCTCTACTAAACCTTCCTGCTCACCCATACCTTCTTCTCCCCTCCTCTTATGCCCCTCTCTTTTTCCTGGTTCCCTCACCCCTCCCTCGATGTTCCCAATCTGCTCAAGAGATCTTGCCTCATTCCACTTCTTTGGGGTATCATGCATCTCTCTTGGTAACCTCCTTGTTTCCCAGACTCACTGGCACTGAGATTGTAAGCTGACACTCCCCTGATCCATATCTAAAATCCATATATGAGTGAGTACATACCATGCTTGTCTTTTTGTGTCTGGGTTACCTCACTCAGGATGGTTTCTTCTAGTGTTCTCCATTTGCCTGCAAATTTCAAGGTTCCATTGTTTTTTTCCACTGAGTAGTACTCCATTGTGTAAATGTACCACATTTCCTCTATCCACTCTTCAGTTGTGGGGCATCTAGGATGCTTCCAGGATATAGCTATTACATATAATGTAATGCTGCTATGAACAGAGTGGAACAGGCATCCTTGTTATGTAAATGTGAATCTTTTGTGTATATGCCTAAGAGTGGAATTGCTGCGTCCCATTTTCCTGAGGAGTATCCATACTGATTTCCATAGTGGCTGTATGAGTTGACACTACCACCAGCAGTGGAGGAGTGTTCTCCTTTCTCCACATCCTCTCAAGCACAAACTGTCGCTTGTGTTTTTGATTTAGGCATTCTGACAAGAGTAAGATGATATCTGAGTTGCTTTGATTTGCATTTCCCTAATGGCTAATAATGTCGAGCACTTTCTCAAGTGTCTCTCAGCCATTTTATCCTCCTCTATTGAGGATTTTATATTTAGTTCAGTCCCCTACTTTTCTGGTTTTGTTGTTGTTGGTGTTGTTTATTTTTGTTATTCGAGATAGGGTTTGTCTGTATTGTTTTGGAGGCTGTCGTGGAATTCGCTCTGTAGACCTGGCTGGCCTGGAAGTTTCAGAGATCCACTTGCCTCTCCCTCCCGTGTGCTGGGATTAAAGCCATGTGCCACCAACGCCCAGCCAGTCCCCCACTTTTTAATTGGATCCTTTGGTGTTTTGGAGACTTGCTTCTTGAGTTCTTTGTAAATTTTGAAGATCAGTCCTCTGTCAGATGTGGGGTAAGTGAATATCTTTTCCCATTCTATGGGCTGCATTTTTTTCTTGTTGACTGTGTCCTTTGCCTTATAGAAGCTTCTCAGTTTCAAGAGGTCCCATGTATTAATTGTTGACCTCAGTATCTGTGCTACTGGTTATGTACAGGAAGCAGTCTCCTGTACCAATGTATTCAAGGGTACCTCCCACATTCTCTTCCAAGAGGTTCAGTGTGGCTGGATCTATGTTGAGACCTTTGATCCATTTGGACTTAAATTTTGTGCACGGTGATAGACATGGATCTATCTGCAGTCTTCTACATGCCAGCATTCAGTTATGCCAGCACCATTGAAGATGTTTTCTTTTTTCCATTGTATAATTTTAACTTCTTCATCAAATATCAGGTATTCATACATGTATGATTTAATATGGAGATGTTCAATTCAATTCCATTGGTCTACCTGTCTATTTTGTGCCAATTCCAAGCTGTTATCAGGACTATAGCTCTATAATAGAGCTTGAAGTCAGGATGGTGTTGTCTCCGGATGTTGCTTTGTTGAACAGGGTAGTTTTGGCAATCCTGGGTCTTTTGTTTTTCCATGTAAAGTTGAGAATTGTTCTTCCAAGATTTGTGAAGAATTGTGCTGTGATTTTAATGAGGATTGCATTGAATCTGTAGATTGCTTTTGGTAAGATTGCCATTTTTACTATGTTGATCCTACCTATCGAAGAGCATGGGAGATCTCTCCATTTTCTGATGTCTTCTTTAATTTAAAGACTCAAAGTTCTTGAGATACAGGTCTTTCACTTGTTTGGTTAGTGTTACCCCAAAGTATTTTATGATGTTCGTGGCAATTGTCAAGGGTGATGTTTCTCTGATTTCTTTCTCAGCCCTTTTATTTTCTGTATATAGTAGGGCTACTGATTTTCTTGAGTTGATCTTGCATTCTGCCACATTGCTGAAGGTATTTACTAGTTCTAGGAGTTCCCTTGTAGAATTTTTTGGGTCACTTACGTATTCACTATTTTCATATCATCTGAAAATAGTGAAAGTTTGACTTCTTCCTTTCCAGTTTGTATCCACTTGATCTCCTTTTTTTCCTTATTGATTTAGCTAGAACTTCAAGTACAATATTGAAGAGGTATAGAGAGAGTGGGTAGCTTTGTCTTTTTCCTTATTTTAGAGGAATCTCATTGTTTCTCTCCATTTAGTTTGATGTTGTCTGTTGGTTTGCTATATAAGGCTTTTATTATGTTAAGGTGTGTTCCTGTTATCGTTGATCTCTCCAAGACCTTTATTATGAAGGGGTGTTGGATTTTGTCAAAGGCTGTTTCAGCATCTAGTGAGATGATTATGTGATTTTTGTTTCTCAGCTTGTTTTTATGGTGGATTACATTGATGGATTTTCTTATGTGGAACCATCCCTGCATCCATGGGATAAAACCTACTTGATCATGTTAGATGATTTTTCTGACGTGTTCTTGGATCTTATTTGCCAGTTTTTTATTGAGTATTTTTTCATCAATGTTCATGTGAGATATTGGTCTGAAGTTCTCTTTATTAGTTGTGCCTTTTTGTGGCTTGGTTGTCAAGGTTATTGAAGCCTCCTGAAAAGAGGTTTGGCAACGACTCTTCTGCTTCTATTGTGTGGAATACTTTGAGAAGAATTAGCATAAGCTGTTCTTTGAATTTTTTTGTAGAATTCTGCACTGAAGCCATCTAGATCTGTACTTTTGTTGTTTGGGAGACTTTTGATGACTGCTTCTATTTCCTTAGGTGTCATATGTCTATTTACATTGCTTATCTGTCCTTGATTTAAATTTGACAAGTTATATCTATCCAGCAAATTGTCCATTTCCTTTAAATTTTCGAATTTTGTGGAGTACAGGTTTCCAAAGTATGGCCTGATGATTCTCTGGATTTCCTCAGTGTCCATTGTTATGCCCCCTTTCATTTTTGATTTTGTTAATTAGAATGATCACACTCTGCCGTTTGGTAAGTTTGGATAAAGGTTTGTCTATTTTCTCAAAGAAACAACTCTGTTTCATTTATTTTTTGTATTGTTTTCCTAGTTTATACTTTATTGATTTATGTTTCAATTTGATTATTTCCTGTTGTCTACTCCTCCTGGGTGAGTTTGCTTCTTTGTGTTCTATAGCTTTCAGTTGTGCTGTTAATTCTTTAATGTGACTATTCTCCAGTTTTTTTGTGGGCACTTAGTGCTATGACCTTTCCTGCTTTCAAACTGTCCCATAAATTTGGGTATGTTATCTCTTTATTCTCATTGAATTCTAGGAAGTCTTTAATTTCTTTCTTTTTTGAGGGGGTGTGTTTTCAAGGCAGGGTTTCTCTGTATTGCTTTGGAGTCTGTACTGGAACTCACTCTGTAGACCCGGCTGGCGTGGAACTCACAGAGATCCACCTGCCTCTGCCTCCCGAGTGTTAGGATTAAAGGTATGTGCCACCCACGTCAGGCTTAATGTCTTTTTATTTCTTCTTTGATCCAGGAATGGTACAATTGCCCAATATTCAATTTCCAGGTGGTATACTTAACTGCTGAACCATCATCTCTTCAGGCTCTGATTTTCAAGAATTAAGTAAGTACAAATGCCAATCAATTTCTTCTTTCTTTCCTTTCTTCCTTCCTTCCTTCCTTCCTTCCTTCCTTACTGTCTGTCTGCCTCCAGGGTCTTTCTATATATCCCAATCTATCTTTGAACTTTCTATCTCCTTCCTCTTCTTAAAAGTGCTGACATTCTTGACTGCTGCCACTCAAACAAAATCTTTAATCATTCCTTGACCACAACACAAACTATTTTTATTCCTTCTCTCCTTCCCTCCCATCCTTCATTCCTTCCTTCCTTCCTTCCTCCTTCCTTCCCTCCCTTACTCTTCCCTCCCCCCTCTCCCTCTCTCTCTCATTTCCTCCTTCCTTCCTTCCTTCTTTCTAGCCATGCTTTCATAACCACTCTTGTCCATATTGGCTTTTATTTTATTTTACTTACAGGAATACAGAACTAATGATTTGACCCTTCCAGATGACAGATGCCTGATTATGAACCCCACACACTGGACAGCCTAGTAGGATTCATATTAACAATGACTCCCAGACCTTAGTTCTTCATTGAAAACAATGATTTTATAGGCACATATTCATGATGACTGTGGTTGAAGCACGGTTATTCAAAAGGATCTTGTTCCTGACACAATTGTTTGGAATTTTTCTGTCTTTTCTTGGACTCCCTCTGACTGGACATCAAAGCTACTACAGTTCCACAGAAGTGGTGATTCCCTTGAGGCTACCTGAGAAATCCAGTGGCATGGAACCTCCAGGCTGGATCTCCTATAGCTTGAAACTTGGAGGCCAGAGATATATTATCCACATGAAGATCCAGAATCCGTTTCTAACCAGGAACCTCCCAATGTTCACCTACTCTGACCAAGGTTCTCTGCTTGAAGATTACCCTTTTGTACAGGATGACTGCTATTATCATGGTTATGTGGAGGGTGACACAGAATCCTTAGTTTCACTCAACATTTGTTTTGGGGGCTTTCATGGACTATTAGAGATAAATAACACTGCTTATGAAATCATGCCCAAGAAATTTTCTACCAAATTTGAACATCTGGTAAATAAAATGGATAGTAATAACACAAAATCAAGTATTTCCAGCCTTATGCAAGATAACATAACATGTCAAGTAGAGTTACAAAAAACTGGTAATTCCGCACTCAAGCAAATTGGTTTTGAAGGCTGGTGGACCCATGTTAGAATTGTTGAATTCGTAGTGGTGGTGGATAAGACTCTGTATGAACACTATCAGAGTAATGACACAGTAATGATGTCAAATCTATATTCTGTGATAAGTATGGTGGATGCCATTTATGATGTAATTGGTATTAAAATATTATTGGTTGGTTTGGAGGTTTGGAATAAAAAAAACCCTATTGTAGTAGATGATGTAAGAAAATCTCTTAAGTTATATTGCCAGTGGCAAGTTTTGAACTTTCTTCATCGATTAAAACATGACATCACTCATCTTTTCATATACAGGCATTTGAGAGGATTAAGTGGCATAGCCTCAACAAGTGGGGTGTGTGATCCAATCCGCAGTTGTGCACTTGTTACTTTCATAGACAGAACTTTAAACCTTCGTGCCCTTGGAATTGCTCACCACTTAGGTCATAATTTGGGCATGAACCATGATGATGAGACATGTAAATGTAGATACAAAAGATGCATAATGGACATTAGTAACCCACCAATAACCAAATTTAGCAACTGTAGTTATAATTATTTTTGGTCTCATACTGCAAGGGAGGCAAGGTGTTTGATGGAAAACATGTACACAAAGGATATCTTTAATCTGGGGCACTGTGGAAATGGTATTGTTGAAGATGAAGAGCAGTGTGACTGTGGATCTTTACAACACTGTGCAAAAGATCTCTGCTGTATGCCAAACTGCACTCTGAGTTTGGGGTCTACCTGTGCCACTGGACTTTGTTGTAAAAACTGCCAATTTTTGCCAGCAGGGGAGGTGTGTAGAAAGCAGGATAACATATGCGATCTTCCAGAGTGGTGCAATGGAACATCCCACACGTGTCCAGATGATGTATATGTGGAAGATGGAATTCCCTGCAATGTCTCAGCGTATTGCTACGAAAAGCGATGCAATGACCGTAATGAATACTGTAGGAGGATTTTTGGCCAGAAAGCAAAGGCTGCAAATACAAATTGCTACAAAGAAGTACACTCTAAAGGTGATCGGTTTGGCCACTGTGGTCTTCAGGGACCTGGGTACGTAAAATGTGAAAACAATGATGCCCTCTGTGGAAGACTTCAGTGTGATAATGTGACAGAAATTCCTCACATGAAAGAACACAGTACTGTGCACTTTGCTGTGGTCAAAGGCTTGCCTTGTTGGGGCACCGATTACCACATTGGGACACGCCTAGACGACTTTGGCGATGTGAAAGATGGCACAGAGTGTGGTCAAGATCATATCTGCATCCGTAGGCGTTGTGTACATTTATCTGCACTGGATAGCAATTGTTCACCTACATTCTGTCATAGGAGGGGCATCTGCAACAATAAACATCACTGCCACTGCAACTATTTGTGGGATCCTCCTAACTGCATGGTAAGAGGCTATGGAGGTAGTATTGACAGTGGCCCACCTCCCAAGATAAAGAGGAAGAAAAAGGTTTGTTACCTGTGTCTACTTCTGCTCTTGGTTTTGTTTATTTTATTATGTTGTCTTTGGTGGCTTCTTCGTCATAGGGAAGAAAATCAAGAAGAACCCCAAATCCAGCCTACATCTGAAAAAATAGATGAAGCTTTAAGCACACGAGCTAGTTCAGTAGCTTCCCAGAGTCTACCTCTGTCAAGAATAGCATCATTCCTGACTTCAAGAACTTCATCTATAAAAAGTGTCAAATAAATATTAATCACTATGGTTCTCTTTATTCTTCGCTATTTTAAGCAACTTGATTTCTGTAACTTTGTTCTTTATATTTCCAAGGCGAAATTGTATGAATGGTGTGGGTATTTTTCAGGTTTTTGCCTATGAGATCTATTATCTCATTTTATAAACTTTAATTGCTATTGGCACCATTTCTGCTACAGCAAGTTTCTTCCTATGGCATAAGAGGGCAATAAGATATGAGAATGTGTAAAATATATATATGTATTAATCTTGCTATGTTAGAGTTTCTTGAATAACAGATTTTACATTGATAGTGATACATGCTTTTAACTCTCCAACTGTTTTTTTGAATAAATTCAATGCACAGCAAAGTTATTTTGAGTTCCAGAGATTCCAGAGAAATTGTCTGACATGTTACTCCCCGTAATGTGAATCCCAGCTATTTGAGCATTTCCAAAGTATCTAAGCAATAGTCCTAGAGGCCTGAGTCTAAGATCATGGAGACAACTACACAGTTTTGAAAGTTGAAGTAGCCCCAAGTTTTCTTTTGTTTCTTTACTATATACGAAATTATCCTTCTCTAATTAGTTAGTCATAATTAATTAGGAACACCGTTTCTCTCTTAATTTGTTCTGTTTTCTTTTTCAGTAACTCTGTAGCCATTTTTTATGCTTAATTATTTTTCTTCTAAATCATTGTTATGATCTCTCTTTTCCTTTTTCCCTCTGTCTGCCTTGTCTCCTGCACCCTATTTAAAAAAATATTCTTGGTGTGGTTGAAACAGGAAGATTGAGGACACTTCATAAATCATTTTGCTTTAGTTTCTGGTTCTTTTATTTTTTCATTTTATTGTCATTTTCTACCTTTGAAGAATTATCTAAACTTATAGGTAATTTGATGGGAATTATAGTGCCTGTTCAACTTCAGAGTTTCTTTGGTTGAAAATAGGATGACAATATAATTTTAGGTAAAAACAGTTAAATCTGTGAAGGTTATACAATGCTGAATGGAATTTTTCACCAGCATTTTTAAATTTAAATTAGAAACAAGCTTGCTTCACATGTCAGTCCCAGCTCCCTCTCCCACCTCTCCTCTCCCCCCTTCAACCCTCCCCCAATCCCTTCTTACCCAATCCCCACTCCACTCTGCAAGGAGGGTGAGGCCCTTCATGGAGTGTCTGCAAAGTCTGTCATATCATCATATATAGGCCCTCCCACATGTGTCCAGGTGGAGACAGCATCCCTCCACACGGAATGCGCTCCCAAACTCCATCTAGATTACAGGGATAAATGCTGATCGATCTATTGCCTGCAGCTCCAAAGAATGCCGAGGCCTCCTCACTGACACCCTCGTTCAGGGGGTCTGGATCAGTCTCATGCTGGCCTCTCAAACATCAGTCTGGGGTCCATGCGTTCTCCCTTGTTCAGGTCAGCTGTGTCTGTGGGTTTCACCCACCAAGTCTTAACCTCTTTGCCAATCATTCCTCTCTCTCTGCAACTGGTTTCCAGGAGTTCAGTTCAGTGTTTAGCTGTGGGTGTCTGCCTATGCTTCCTTCAGCCACTGGATGAAGGCTCTAGGATGCCATACAAGGTAGTTGTCAGTCATGTTATCAGGGAAGGTCATTTAAGGTAGCCTCTCCATTATTGATTAGATTGCCAGTTGGTGTCATCCTTGTAGGTCTCTGGACATCTCACTAGTGGCAGACCTCTTTTCAAGCCTATAATGACTCTTTCTATTATGGTATCTCTCATCCTGCTCTCCTCTATTCTTCCCCTGGCTCAACTTTCCTACTCCTCCATGTCCTACTCTGCCCCCTCTTCACCTCCTCTCTTTCTCCCAAATTCCTCCCCCCTTCCCCCCTGCTCCCAACCCTCTCAGAGGATTCTGTCCTGTTCCTCTTCTCTGGCTTACCATGCATATCTCTCTTAGGGACCTCCCTGTTCCCAAACTCTCTGACTGTGGGATTGTAGGCTGGCAGTCCCCTGTTTCATGCCTAAAATCCACATATGAGTGAGTACATACCATGCTTGTATTTTTGTGACTGGGTTACCTAACTAAGGATCCTTTCTTTAGTGCCATTCATTTGCCAGCAAATTTCAAGATCCCATTGATTTTTTTTCTGCTGAGTAGTACTCCATTGTGTAAATGTACCATGTTTTCTCTACCCACTTTTCAGTTGATGGGCATCTAGGCTGCTTCCAGGTTCTGGCGATTACAAATAATACTGCTATGAACATAGCTGAACAGATGTCCTTGTTGTATGAATATGCATCTTTTGGGTATATGCCTAAGAGTGCAATTGCTGGATCTTGTGGTAGACTGATTTCCATTTTCCTGAGGAATCTCCATACTGATTTCTAAAGTGGCTATACTAGTTGGCACTCCCACCAACAATGGAGTGTTCCCCTCTCTCCATATCCTCTACAGCATAAGCTGTCATTGGTGATTTTGATTTTAGCCACTAAATGGATTTTTAAAATGTTATAAAATATTACTTTTATTTTTGAAATTATATAAATAGATCAATTCCTCTTTCCTTTTCCTTCCTCCAAACTCTACCATATACCCTTCCTTATTCTCTTTCAAATTGATGGTCTTTTTTCATTACTCATTCTGTCTGTCTGTCTGTATCTCTCTCTCTCTCTTTCATACACACACACACACACACACAAACACACCTAAATTCATAAGTGCCTATAGGTGGAGCATTTATGTCTTGACCACCCAGGCTCCAATAAATACACAGAAGCATATATTAATTACAAATGTTGAGCTCAGAGCTCGGGTTTGTTACTAGGTAATTCTTACATTTAAATTAACCCATTTCTATTAATCTATATATTTCCATATGGCTTGTGACTTATTAACTCCTTTCTTTTTTTATTCTAAAATTTGATTTTTTACTTTTCAAAATATTTTATTTAAATTAAAAACAATCTTATGTGAGCTGCATAATCACAATACACCAAACAAGAGTAAAAGCACATTTTTGTTCCCCGAGGGTTGAAACAGATGTTGGAAAGGAAGTCCTATAAGTTGAGTTCTTCCTCAGCCTTCTAATTGCTAGGATTCAGAAACTTTGTTTTTGAAACCAGGCCCCACATATGGACTTGCCCTCCAGTGCCTGAGGACTCCCATAGAGGCAGGAGCCATGCACCCCAGATCCCATGTCTTCTCTTCCACCAACGAGACTAGGGGACCAGCAGGTCCAGGGGAACAGCAAGACCAGCGGGTCCAGCAGGACAGCAGGACTAGGTAAAACAGGCCCTGCATCCAGGCCTGCATTCCAGTGCCTGGGGATTGCCTGGGGACTGCTACAAAGTTTCCATCCCGGCAGGAGCCTCATACCCCAGATCCCAGATCTTTTCTTCCACCAATGAGATCAGGGAACCAGTGGGTCCAGACCAGGAGACCAGAAGGTCCAGGGGAACAGTGGACCAGCGGGTCCAGGGACACCAGCGGGTCCAGGAGAGCAGCGACTGGGGACTGCCACAGAGCCTCCAATACCAGCAGGAGCAATGCACCCCAGATCTCAGGTCTCCTCTTCTCCCGAAGGGACTAGGGGACCAGGTGAGAGACTATACACCCCAGATTCCTGGGCTTCTTCTCCACCCACAGGACCAGAACTATGACCAGGAAGAGAAGAACTACCAGAGTATTGGACTTGCTTGCACCTACCGAAAGGGAACCCTGGTCCCCTATCCAGCAGACTAGTAAGGGGCTCTTTCTGCACCCACTAGAAGAAGAGATGGGAAAGAGACAATACAAAAACAAACTCAGCAACAGACAAACAAATATGACACCACCAGATTCTAGAGACTTCACAACAAGGAGACTCCACCATTCCAATGCAAATGAAGTAGAAGAGAATGGCCTTAAGAACAACTTCATGAAAATGATAGAGGCCCTAATAGAGGATATAGGAAAATCCCTCAAAGAAATGGAAGAAAAAAAAAACAAAAAATGCAAGAAATGGAAGAAAAAACAAACCAAAAAATGCAAATAATGGAAGAAAAAACAAACCAAAAAATACAAGAAATGGAAGAAAAAACAAACCAAAAAATGGAAGAAAAACAAACCAAAAAATGCAAGAAATGGAAGAAAAAACAAACCAAAAAATGCAAATAATGGAAGAAAAAACAAACCAAAAATACAAGAAATGGAAGAAAAAACAAACCAAAAAATGGAAGGAAAAGAAAACCAAATAATACAAGAAACAGAAGAAAAAACAAACCAAAAAATTCATAAAATGCAACAAATGGACGAAAAGTAAACCAAAAATAGCAAAAAAAAAAAACAATTCAAACCATGCAAGGTTTGAAAACTGAAATAGAAAAAATGAAAAAACACAATATGAAGGAAGGCTGGAAATAGAAAAACTGGACAAATGGTCAGGTACTACATATGCAAGCATTACCAACACAAGAGATAAAAGAGTAAATCTCAGGTGTTGAAGATACACTAGGAGAAATGGATTCATCAACCAAAGAAAATCTTAAGTCCAACAAATCCTTAACACAAAATATCCAGGTAATATGGGACACCATGAAAAGACCAAACCTAAGAATAATAGGTATAGAAGAAGGAGAAGAAAACCACCTCAAAGGGGCAGAAAACAAAAAAATTCCTCTCGCCACATAATAATCAAGACGCCAAATATACAGAATAAAGAAAGAATATTAAGAGCAACTAAAGAAAAAAGGCAAGTAACATATAAAGGCAGACCTATCAGAATTACACCTGACTTCTCCATGGAAACTCTGAAAGCCAGAAGGTCCTGGATAGACATTCTATCAACACTAAGAGACCATGGATGCCAGCCCAGACTATTATACCCGGCAAAGCTCTCAATCACTGTAGATGGAGAAAACAAGATATTCCATGACAAAACTAGATTCAAGCAATACGTATCCACAAACCCAGCCCTACAGAAAGTTGTTGAAGGAAAAATCCAACCCAAGGAAGTTAACTACAACAAGAAAAACATAGGCATTAGATAATCCTACTTTAACAACTGTCAAAAGAAACGGATTTCCACACATAATTCTGCCACCAACAACCATTCCAAAAAATAAAAAGAATGAGCAATCAATGGTCATTAATATCCCTGAAAATTAATGGACTTAACTCACCCATAAAAAGACACAGGCTAACAGAATGGCTTCGAAGACAGAACCCATCCTTCTGCTGCATACAAGAAACACACCTCACCCTCAAGGCAGACATTATCTGAGAGTTAAAGGTTGGGAAAAGATTGTCCAATCAAATATACCCAAGAAACAAACAGGGGTAGCAATCCTAATATCTAACAAATTAGATTTTAAAATAAAATCAATC